CAAAGACCCTTCCTGAATCAGTAGGATGGGGACAAGCTGTAGATCTCGCTCCTGACCTCTTCTTCCTCCCCATCACCAGCTGCCCTAGGACAGCAAAGGTCGGTTGCTTCTCATCCGTTTATTCTTGGTGTAGCAAGAATAAGAAACTTGGGGATATTCTGGGATTACAAGTGACTTGAGCAGTCTTTTAGTCCTATACTCTCATTTTACAGCTGAAGAAACTGAGGCCCAAAGAACTTACGGGACTTGCCTGCCCCAAGTTGGGCTGTACTTGGGAATCTACTTCCTTCATACCATGCTGAGCCTAAGGGGGGCATTAGGTTGTGCTCTAGTGAATCCTTACCTTCACCCTTCAGTCCCTTGGCCAGTCACTTGGTGCTAATGAGGTCAAGCCGGTTTGTTTGAGTCCCATGTGGCCCCTGCACTTTGCTCAATTTGTAGGGACACAAGCTCTACTCCAGTCCTGATCAGCCAGGCGACAGCATATGGCTGGATTAGCACAAACCTATCCCACTCCTGGGAAAGTAACTCAGAGAACACGCTTGTATTATGGTGGGTCAATGACATTTTCATAAAGGGTAGCTTGCTTATCATCCTCTTGACAAATAGGGAACGAGAAGTCCAAGGAGAAACAAAGGACTGAACGCCATGTCATGAACTGGAGCTAGGAGTACAAAATATATCTTGTGACCCCCAGAAATGCGTACACTCTATTATCCTCTGAAAAATCAGAAACAGGCAAAATATGCCATTGGGAGCAGTAGCAGAGCTTTAACTAGTGATTTTTGTGCCTAGGGCAAGTGACATGAAGTATTCCATGAAGAAGGCCATGGACAGGTGGAGGAATGGAGCTGGGGAAGGGAGGAGATCACCGGCAGGAGAGCATATAGGGGTAGGGAGAAAGTACATGCTGTGTGGTAGCTTATCTTAACTAATTAGTCTTACTAGCTAAGTGATTAAAAATTCTGATATTTCTAAGTGCCCAAAGGACTGCCACTGCGATTGGCACCACAAAATTCAGGACTCTGTGACAAAGACACGGTTGTCCTGCTCTGGTTACGGCTCTGACAGCAAGGCTTTGCCAAAGCATTGTCTCTGAATTGGAATCTTTACTAGAACCTCCTGCTTCCTATGAAAATAAGAAACCTTCTTAGGTTTCTTAACTCTCTATCAAAGAATTGTAATATAAATAGAATCAGAGAAACCTCATTCATTTCTAGAGAATGTCTAGAGTCTTCAGTCCTCTTTGGAACCCAGACAACAGAGAGAAAAATGAAAACATAAAATTAACAGTAGAGTCAAAGGGACCTTATAAAGAGGTAGAGTGGGACATGTGATTATTGCTCCTGTTTGAGGGGTGCTTAAAGATCAGTCCCCTCCAAAATGAGTCTGGTTGTGATGCTCCAGATTCCACTTTGATTCATTTTTTTATGTGAAGCTGTTCATTTGCAAGCTCCTCTTTTAAAATGCCAGGGTTTCTGTAGAGAAGGAGCATGCATAATCAGTCTTAATGCGATTGACTTGATAAGCTTGATTTCTAGACTGATTAGAACCAAGTAACTAAGAGACAATGGGAGTTTTGATTTGGTGGAGGCATGGAAGGGAGAGCTATTTCACTAGAACTATTTTTAGAAAAGGAGGCACTAGCTGAAGGAGGGCAGGTCTGGGTAAGATGGTACAAAGTGCCACATGAAGGTAATGGGAAAGAGAGAGAGATCATCTACTTTAATAATTACGTTTGTACTTTAAGGGAAGTGGAAGAGCGCATAGTCCAATGCCTAGTCAATGCTAGAAGCCAGGGTAATTAGGGAAGGAAGAAAGCAAAGAAGCACCTATTAAAATCCTACTATGTGCTAGGCACTGTGCTAAGTGTTTTAGAAATATTATCTCATTTGATCCTCACAACAGCTCTGGGAGGTGGGTGCTATTATTATCCCCATTTTACAGTTCAGGAAACTGAGGCAGAGTTTAAGTGTTTTGTACAAGGGATTAGATTTGAATTCAAGTCTTCTTGACTCGAGGTCCAGTGCTCTATCCATTGTGCCACTTAGCTGCAGAAATCTACCTGGATTAAAGAGCACATGTGGAATCTTAATAGTTTAATAACTGGCTTTATATCTACTGGCCCTCATGTCTCAATCCTGTGCTCCATCTTTTGGAAACATCTTGGGATTCTCTTTCAATCTCACCATCTTCTTCTACTTGATGTGATTGACTTCCTTTTACTAGAAGATACCCCACTTGGTCCAACCATCTGCTCTGTCTCTGTCCCTGACACTCAGATCTCATGGATTCCATAAGATGTTGGAGATGGGAGGGACCTTAGATATCACTTAATCCAACTCTTTTACTTTATAGGACCAGAGAGACTAAGTAACTTGCCTGTTCTGAGTTGTTGGCAGACCAGAAGACTAGAAGACAATATTCCCATCTCCCAGTCCAGTGTACTTTACACTGCTCCACAGAATTAGATCGATCCCTCTCTGGAAAGCTGAGATGGGGCCTCAGTGGAAGTGAGTTTTGAGGCAAGCTTTAGAGCCAGGCTCTGGGACTGAGCTTTGGCAAGGAAGAATACTTTATAGGTTATCATGGAGGAAAGAACACTGGAATGAGAGCCAGAAAACCTGAGTTCTAGTCCTGACTGCATGACTAATTAACTCAGTGACCCTGGTAAATCCTTCTACCTCTCTGGGATTGTTTCCTCATCTGTAAAATGAGAGAATTAGGCTTTGGGATTTCTAAGGTCTCTTCCAGTTACTATGTTCTTGATTCCTATAGATAGTGAACAGGGTACTCTAGGTTTATAGAATTCTAGAGTTGGTAGGAACCATAGAGGTACTCTAGCCCAACCCCCTTATTTTACAGATGAGGAAAATGAGGCTCAAAGACTTTATATCATATTTGCCAGAATATTTGGGTTTTGCTGAGGTCTTCCACTTCATTTTTAGATACCCAGTTTTCTCTGTATGGAAACATAGTTGGCACACCCCAGAGGTGAGAATTACTAATTGGAAGTGGTGGCAGAGAAATCCTCCTCCCTGCCCCCTCCCAGAACAATGGGAGGGAATGATTGCGGGGTGGAGGGTGAAGGTGGGGGGGGGGGGGGAGAAGGTTAGGGACCTTTCAAAAATGGAAACCAGATGAGCAGTTCAAAAGGTAGCGAATTCTTCACGGGAGCACTCCTTTGTTGTGAGCATTTGAGACCGGAGCAGCTGGACAGCTTTCTTCCCGGCCCTGACAGCAACGACAGCGTGGACACGGATAACTGCATTAGATGCACTCGGCTCCTTTCAATAAAACACTCTTTTGGAGTTACAATAGAGGAAAAAGTGGCAGCAACCTAAGGTTGAAGTGGGGATCCTTTCCCTCTTCCCTCTTCTCCCCCCTCCCTCCCTTCCCCTCCCCATTCACCCCCTAGTGAAATCATCCGGAATTCATTCTCATGATTCAACTAATCAAAGTTTAGCCACTCTGTTGTTAAAAAGAAAAGAAAAGAAAAACAGCTCTTCCAGCCCACTTCCACAGGAAATGATGCCCTGGTGAGAGGGGAGTGAAAGCTCCCCATTAACTGGTTAGGACTCTGTGTGTATTGACTGGTAACAAGAAGCACTGTCCTAGGGAGGAAGTATTTTCAAGATCTCTCTCTCTCTCTCTCTCTCTCTCTCTCTCTCTCTCTCTCTCTCTCTCTCTCTCTCTCCTTTTCCCCAACACTTATGTGTAACCTGTGCTTCACATGAACCTGGTTTAATCCTGGGGCTTTTGGCTAATTGCCCCTGTATGCAATTGCTCTGGGAAAGTCTCCTAGTAGACTCACAGTGTGTCGTTATTCCTCAGTTGTTTCAGTCACGTCTAACTCTTTGTGACCCCATTTGGGGTTTTCTTTGAAAAGATACTGGAGTAGTTTGCTGTTTGCTTCTCCAGATCATTTTACAGATGAGGAAACTGAGGCAAACAGGGTTAAGTCAGGGTCACACAGCTAGTAAGTGTCTGAGGTCACATTCGAACTCAGATCTTTCTGATGCCAGGCCCAGCGCTCTATCCACTGTGCTACTCACAGCATATTCGTTGTTTAAGTCCCTCTCATCCATCCAAATGAGTAAAGGGGTTCCCAGCTCCTGTACAGATACTCAAGGTAGTAAATACATATTGGTATGGGACAACTTTTAATTTTACCCCATGAAAAATGCATATGATGCAAAGGACTCACAGAAGCCCCATGAACAAATACATACAGTCCTCAAGTAGCCCATTAGACCCCCTCTGGTAGTGAAATATGTTTTGGGGATGTGCACTGCTGAATGAGCTGTCAAACCCCTTCCAACTAGAATGGTTATTTAAGCAACTCATGTGAATAGGAAGGAAAGGAGTCAAAGTCCAGCTCTCCTGACACACCTACCCCTAACCCCTAATGACGTGGCTCTAGTCTTCCAGCCGTAGGGGCCATATTGGTAATACTTTCCCTTCTCTAAGAAGTATACTACTGAGGAAATCTCTCTCTAGGACAGAGGTTCTTACATGTTTTTGTGCCATGGACCCTTTTGGCCATCTGCTGAGGCCTATGGACTCCTCAGAATGGTTGTTTTATTTTTTTAAACATTTCCTCATTGAAGGAAATGCTAAATTTTAGTTAGTGGGGAAAAAAGATGTCATTTTCCCCCATTTAAGTTCATGGACCTCCATGGAGCCCAGGTTGAGAATGCCTGTAGTGGGAGAGTGATGTCTGAATTCTACAAATTGGGAAGAAGGTAGCCACCGTGGCTAGAAAAGCGCCCTCTCAAGATCTCTCCTCTTAGGCCACATGTACGCACATTTCTGTCACATGCTTCTGAAGAAATTCTCTCCATGCTACCCTGCCACCCATAGGCATGTATATACAGTGGGCCTGGTATGACTCAAAATGATTTTTTAAAAATTGCTTTGCATTTTAATTTCATAGTTTGGCATACTTTTAGTTTAAGCAAATGAATTGTTCCATTTTGTATTAAGTACCAAGTTATGTAATATGGATTTATAGAGATGTATAGAAAGCTTAGGTTCTCGAGATACATGTGTCCCCATGGCTGCAATGCCACATTAGCACTTGTCCTTCTCTCCCCCTCTGATTCGTAATCTAGAGAATCTTTGACCTACAGCAGCAACCACAGCCAGCATGCCCTGTGTGGTATCTATGGTAGGTCATCTTTGTCATAAGGACTCTTCCAAAGTAGCATAACAAGCCTGTGGTTTTATGTTTTAATTCAGATGATATACACTTTAAATTTTAAGATAAGAAAAGGAACAGACAATCTGAGTTATAATGAATATGTTGATAGTAGGAACAGTCCTCAGGGTCTTCAGTCAAGAACTTATATGAGGAAAGTAATGCTGCAACGTGTTCCCAGGAGCAATAATCTGAAAAAGGAGCAATAAAAACAGCCTATTGACATAGGTTCAGGTTATTATAGTCCCTATTCCAATTTCATTCTGTTTTTTAAAGTTTATATTCTAAAAGTGGCTAATTTTTTTTAAAAGTTTAAGTTTCAATTTATTTAATATGATGAATAAAATTAATAATATTCTGGCCAGACTGAACTCAGGCCAACCCAGTGTTTCAGGCTCAGGATTAGAATGTAATGAGAAGTTTGTAGACCACAAAATGCAATGAAAATGACTTTACCTATAATAAAAGATTAAAAAGATATAATTTCTAAGGTTAAAAAGAGAGTAATTGGGATAAAAAAGGCTATTCCTCTCCAGCTTCACATTCACCATGGCAACCAGCCATGGTAGGTCAGAAAAGCAGTGGGATTCTCTAAAATCGTTGACATCAATTTCTCATAGATTGGGCCTTTTTTGTCTCAGTAGGCAAGGAAGCCAAACCAGTGACAGTGCCACTGTGTATAGCACAGTGCCTGGCACAAAGCTTTTAATAAATGCTTTGTTTCTTGCCTCCCTACCACCTGTAAAGGAAAATCAGTCCAACCTATACAAATAGGTGCTGCTCCTACCACATCCCACCCCTTAGTATCAAGGTCCCAAAAATGTTCTAGGAAATTGTCCACCACTAAAATAAACTTGAAACAATGCTAGCATAAGTAGTATTGGTAGGATAACTTAATACAATTGGTAAATCATAAATACAAAAATAAATAATTTATGATAAAACAAACAATATTTTAACGTATGGTTCATGCAGTTGGGGGTGGGTGTGGGGGTTAATATCAAGTCTCCTGATATAAAACAAAACAAAACGTGATAGCATGAGCAGGATCAGAAACATAAGGTTCATAGCACATAAGATACCTCCAACACCGTCACCTGTCTACATCACCTGTCCACATAAAAAAATGTCATAGACATCCTGCACGCAACCTATTCTGGTACCCAAGTTGATAAGGGGATTGACCCTATGCCAACACTCACTAAATGTTCTCTGGTCCTTTAGCCCAAACTTCCTTCTCTTTGGGAACCTCATTACCAGCATGGTACAAAATGTTGGCCCCTTCTTCTGAAAGTCTGTCTTCTTATACTATGAAGACTGGATAAAAATTGTCCCTCAGCTTCTTTCAAGAACTCCAGATTTTCACTAAATCAGCCAAATTAGCTCCTTCTTTCAGATGAATTCCTGTTCACTATGAGTATAAAAAGACCATTTCATTTCTCCCATATTATTAAAAAAGCAAAGCACCTCCCAATAATTCTACTATGTTAGCTCCTTTAAATCCTTTCTAAGAAGAAGTTTTCAGAATCATAATGGGGTAAAGGAAACTTGCCAATTAAGGAGGACCTAAACTATTTTCTAAGTTGTATAGAATGTTCAGAGAAAGCAGACAACTTAAGGTCCAAGTGATTCTGCATAAAAGATGGAATAAGGAAGGGCAGGAGGGAGTTAACTGGGACTATATCTAAAAATGATCAGTCCTTATAAGGTGAATCTTCTTAGAGAAATAACTCAATTGAAGAGCCCTCTACTTTCTTGAATTATCACTAAATTTGTGAAGGACACAACCTCTAAGAAATGAGATACCTAACTCCAATTATCTTGTGCTGACATGAGGAAGAGCCAATATAATGAATGCAGCCAATTAGAAGCAGGTTGAGAACTACACTTGGCATAAAAATAATTATTGAGCAAAAGCAGTTCCAAAATCCTTAGTTCTGTAGATTATGCAGTACCATGACACTGCTGCCCCATGTTAAGATTGACGATGGATCCAAACCCCAATGTCCTGCTGTCCTTGTCAGGATATTAAACTGGTTATTCAGTTCAACAGAGGGTATAATGGTACCTCTGATGAATACTAACATGCACTACAAATTATAGTAGTCAGTGAAATGCATTAGTAAAATTCTTCCATGGGTGCTGAGTCCAGGCTTTGAATGTCCAAATTGGTTCTTTCCAGGCTTTGAAGAGTGGGGTGGTTCTTCTAATAAGAGTTTGAATCCATTTCCTTGACTCTTAGGTGATAAACCCCAGTTACTAAAAAACAGTCAAAGGAGTTCCCTAAGTCCTCTCAGAAAGGTTCTAGCATTTATGCTCCACTTTGGGGGTAATATAAACCCCTAAGAGACTTTCCTAGATCAACCCCAAATAGGGGGCAAAGAGCCAAAGAATGAAATTGACCTTTGGATATCAGTCACCAGAATTTGACCCGAGTTCATGTGGTCCCAAGAACCTTTGGGAGAGGGGGGCCCCCAAGCTATGGATTACAAAAGGTCTTGGGGGGAAGAGAGGTAAAAGAGGGAGGTAACTGTACCAATCCATGGGATGACACCCTTCAGATTCAAGGACCGTGCCCCGTCACCTCATCGAGTTAGTTGGGGAATTGATCAGGTTGATCCCTGAACAACCCCCTTTAACACTTGGCAATCAAAGGGACCCTAAAATATTGCATTGTTTTGAACATAAGATGACTGCATATGACATGGACCCATCAGATTCAGCACCTAGCTTTTTTATTTCCTAATTGAGAAGTGAGTGCTGAGGTTTCAGTGGGCAACAGCAAAATTAAAAAAGAAAAATAGGCCAGTGTAAGGCTCTCAAGTGAGAGGTTACTTGTCAGCTATTTTAATAAAAATTGACCAGCAATTTTCTTGAAGTGAAAGGGAAGAGGGAGATGTTCTAGGGAGGGAGTGTTCTAGGCTCTGTTCCTGTGGTACTCAGACATAAAAATACTTGTTCGGGGCAGTCCTGTACCTGCTGGGGAAAGGGTTGGTGCCAACAAGCCAGTTTTTGGAGTATCATCTGTGTTTGAAGTGCTTTGTCTGTCTGTCCACACTTCTTCATTCCACTTTTTAAAGAGGCAATACTCAGGGCCTGCTTATGGCAGAATGCCAAGAATGGAGAAGTAATATGCCCACATCCTTCAACACAAAAACACATATATAGCACATTGCTAAACCAAAACCACCTCCAGGCTGGAGTAAGACCTAGAGCAAATCCTACTATGTGACTCTTCTCTATGACCTTTTCATATGAGTGAAATCTGATTAATATGAACATCAAGGTCAGCTTTTAACCAATGGAAGCACGAAGAATAGCAGCAGGTAGAAGCGTAAGATGAAAGAAGCAGCCTAAGGAGAGGAAATGTTATTAAAGATAAACTTAGGATTCCAGTGTGCATGGAAGAAGGAAAGAGGTATTTATAGCCAGGTGAAGCCTATGAACTACCTTACCTTTTCATAGTAGAAAGAGGGTATTTGGAGGCAAGATAGGTGCAGGTCACTGGTATATCTATATCTTTATCTTTATCTATATCTATATCTATATCTATATCTATGTCTATGTCTATGTCTATGTCTATGTCTATATCTATATCTATATCTATATCTATATCTATATCTATATCTATACCTATACCTATATCTATATCTAATCTATACCTGCATCTGTATCTATATCTATCTATATCTATATCTATATCTATATCTATATCTATATCTATATCTATATCTATATCTATATCTATATCTATATCTATCTATATCTATATCTATATCTATATCTATATCTATATCTATATCTATCTAGATATAGATATATATGTGTATGTGTATTTATGTATGTATATACACACATATAGACACATATACACATAAATGTATGTGTATATATGTACATATATATTAACATACATATGTATACACATATGAATGAATTTCTTAGGTATTGTTCAGAGAGCTCACAATGGTCTAAGTTGCAACTTCAACCCTTTGGTCTCCATAGCAGAATAACTTTCCAGCTCCAGTCTCCAAAGCTTACTAGAGTAAAAATTGGGGCCTCACAACTACCTTTAATCAAAAAAGCATAGATTTAGTCAGTAAGTCAGTCATTCAATCAATAAATATTAAGTGCTTACTGTGTGCCAGGTACTATGTTAAGTCCTAGGGATACAAAGAAAGGCAAAAAGACAAGGAACTGACAGTCTAATTGGGAGCACTATATAAAAACAGCTATGTACAGACAAGCTATTCATAGGCTAAATAATCAACAGAGGTAAGGCATTAGAATTGAGGGGGGATCAGGAAATCATTATGATTTAAGCTAATATTTTAACTGAAACTTCAAGGAATCCAGAAGGCACGGATGAGGATTTCAGGCATGGGGGATAAAACAGTGAGACAGAGAGTCTTGTTTGAGGAACAGCCAGAAGGCCAGCGACACTAGATTGCAGAGTACATGTGTGGAAGGATCCTTGGAGTTCAACCCCTTCACTTTAGAGATTAATTAATTGTTTTTGTCATTGGTCCTTTATCTTTGAAGAGGACCAGTGATATCATGGGGTGATGTCTTGACTTGTGCATGAATTGGATTTAAGTGACGCAGAGCTGCACAAAGTCATCAGCCCCACTCTTTCTTCCAGAGTCATCAAAGTCCAGGGGCAAGACAAAAGTTAGAATGACTGGAGATGGCCCAAGATGCAATGGATGACCTTGGCATCTTTGATAACTGACCAAGCTCTAACCGCTCCACAAGCCCTAATTCAACTGCCTTCATGCCACTGGAACAAATTGTTCTCATTCCATTCTGCCAGCGGAAATCTTTGCCTGCTTGGGGTAGACATCCCCCTAACTCACAGACAGCTTTGAAGCTTCTAGGTTATCCTCTACCCGGTTTATCCCATATGCCAAGACAGTTTCATGAGGTGTGGCTGCTGCTCATGCTACAGTTTCTTGAAAGCACAAGTAAGAGTTGGGTGAAAGGTAGACACCAAAGGTGGATGAGCAGCTCTGTGTGCCTATTGTATGCCAATAAGTATATATTGGCACTATGTGCCAAGCAATGTGGTAGGTGGTAGATGCACAGAAAGAAAAAGTAAACAGTCAGAAGGACAGAACCAAGATGGCAGAGTAAAAGCAGTGACTTGCTTGAGCTCTCCCCCAAACTCCTCCAAATACCTGTAGAGATGGAT